ACGGGGGCACATGTATAAATCAGCTTGCACACAGACTACTGCAGAATGACATGTCATCCATTTGCTAGTTTAGTTCAGTTTAAACATATTTTATTCACAGAACAATTTGAGAATTGTATTGGGGACAAGTTCTTGCAACTTAGTAAACCCCTCCCTGCATAAAATATGTACAAATATACAGTTGCAAAATAAATAAATTTGCTTCAGTCAGTAAAAGTCAGACTTTCCACATTTACACATCAATATATTTGTGTAAGTTTGTTACGTTATAATTATTCCATTGTGTATATTACTTAATACTTTACCAATTGAAATATGATTCCATTAGGTTAAATATGAACAATTATGATGAAAATCGTCAATAGGATATATTACAATTAAGTACAAAACACACAGAGTATTTCTCAAATAAATAAGAAAACTAAGTTCTTTCTAGTAATTAATCCTCTTCTGGACAACCACAGATATGAAATTCCAATGCGTTTATATATACATATTAACAATGTACGATAACGACCTCAATCCTCCCCCACACCCATACTTTAATGACGATTTTACGATAAACCCTGTACCAACCCTGACAAGGATAGGTTCTAGTCATTTAACGCCTTTGACACTAAACTTAAAAGGTTATTACAATTTACGTAAAAAGTTATTACATTTTAAGTTGAGATTATTACAATTTACGTCAATTTTTATTACAATTTGCGTATTACAATTTACGTCAAATTTTATTACAATTTACGTTGTTATTACAATTTACGTCAAAATTATTACAATTTGCTGCAAGTATTACAATTTACCTTTTTATTACAATTTACATCGTAACAACCCCTTTTATGGGAGGAATTAGTTTTATGATCCCCGGGCTTCGGCACAAGCGTGGTGTTGGAAGACAAGTTATGTACATCTCATATGGTGACTGTTTTTCCCTATTCATATTCTAATTTCATTCATAATACCACACCATTACAGTACTCCTTGAAACTTTACAATGACTTCAAATGTTAAGTACAAAATATTGAACGAGAACAAATGATAATGCATTATAAAAAGAAAGATTGCTGTCTGTCATCTGGCATCTGTCTGTCATGATTTCTTAAATTCAAAATGCTTGAAAAATAGAGCTGACTTTATGGGAGATGTGACGTAAGTCAGCTGAGACTGTGCATGCGGACACACAGTTACACCGATTACAGCATACAGTCAAGTCTCGTTAATCCGACACTCGTTTATCCGACCATCGGCTTTATCCGACACTAATGATGGGAACCGATTAAATCAGTGCTCGCACTCCGACTCCGACACACCAAATTTGCAACGAATTACCGAAATCACTCATTAATCAGTCTCGTTAATCCGGCACAGTGATCATCTGCTCTACACGCAGGCTCTTTGTTCAAGCTGGAATATACAGGAAATGATATGTAACACTTTTCTTTGTACTAATAACATGTTTGCATGTTATCACAGAAACTGCTAGAGTTTTGTTAGACGTCGATAACGGGAAAGTCATCCCTCTTGTCATACAGTTTTTTTTGGCTATTTTTGTATCACTGATGCAAGGATCTAAACATGAAACAGATGAGGAGGTGTCATGTTGGTTAATCAGTGGACGGGAATTTGCTATTTGACAATTATTGAACGATATCAGATCATCTAAACCTGAACCTTAAGTAAAACGTCTTGGTCAAATTCCTTTTTTTAATTTTGCTAGCCCGAGTAAAGAATCCGATTCATATTCACAAAATACCGAGAGTGTATAACAAGGATTGTAAAACAATTAGTGCCCACGGGGATGCCTACTTCTTGCCGAAGTGTCCTATCCCCAAATTTCACATGGATGTTATCAATGAGAAAGTTCAGCTTTACACACATTACACACAGATGTAGTCTGTGCGAAAGTTCAGCATTTAACATATTTAACATATTTAACACATTGTTTTCTCAATGAACGTCAGATCACATGTGCTTTCAAGTTTGTAGGGGGGGGGGGGGGTGGGTGACGGGTGGCCCAGTCGTCTGAGGCGCCGCACCATACCCGTGCTCGTGGGTTTCACCGAAGTGGTAACTGTCTGAGACCTGCATCACTTCGGGCTTTTCTCCCACATAAAGCTGAAAAACTGTTAAAAGCGGCGTTAAACCAAACTCACTCACTTACTATATTGCAACGGCAAAATCAATATCAGATCTACCTTGGATATTATGTCCTATCTAATGTAAGTTCTGAGGTTATTAAAATGAACGTGCGGCAACAGTTATTAACAATGAGTTTAGAACATTGAAGACACTGATTGGTACAGGAGAATCTTCTCTTCTCTGTGCACCATTAACCACATACCCCGGTGTTGATGGTCTTGAAGCAAATATTAAAAGTTTTAAGTGAACGTTTTCCACCAATTTCTGAATTGTCATATCCTCATCCTTCTGATCCATATGTTCGAATCCCGGTTCGATCCGATTATGTTTCTAGGTTTGTCAGCACCATACCCGTGCTCGTGGGTTTCACCGAAGTGGTAAACGATTGAGACATGGATCACTTCGGGCTTTCCTCCCACATTAAGCTGACACGACGCCATATAACTGGAATACTGTTAAAAGCGGCGTTAAGCCCAACTCACTCACTCTGATCGATACAAAAGGATTGGTGATCATGACATGAGTAACACGAGACATCTTAAAAAGGATGACCCTAGTTTTCGTTGCACTGTTTATCAGTTTCCTTTTCGCAAACCTCTTTTTTTCTTTGGAAATTAATCCCAAAGTAAAATTTGTTTCCACAATTTCAATATTCTGTACCAAAGATAACAAAGAGTGTTTGACCGTTACTTGCACTTCATCCAAATAAACCGCCTCCGCGGTCTAGTGGTAGAGCGTCCGCCCGGAGAGCGGAAGGTCCGGGGTTCGATCACCGGCCGCGTCATACCAAAAGACGTTAAAAGATGGTACTTCTTGTTACCCTGTCTGGCGCTCGGCATAAAGGGGCTAAAACAAGGACTGGTCGGCTCAGAGTCAGTATACTGTGTCTGAGTGGGGTATTCATTTTAAACTGCGGCATGGTATCTCAGTGGGCTAGCACTATAAATCGGCTTCAGTCCGGACTAGTACAAGCAGCCACACGGGATCTTCAGCTGAGACAACAGTGTCATCTAAAAACAGCGAGGCGATGGACTGCAAATATTCATTACGTGAACGTTGTATGATGTGGAAACAGAAATTACATCTTGATAAACACACCGTCAGAAAAAGAGGCTTTATCAAGGCACGTTAAAGATTTACAACGGAATGCTCCTGAATGAATCAGATAGACCTAGAGTTGATATAAACATTGTCGTGTGTCCTCTTTTAAACAAGCACGCAAGGGATGGTGATACGCTGGCTGGGGCGAGTGGCGTAGTCGAAGCACATAGACTAGCACAGAGCGAATAAGGCCAATAGTTGTAAAGTTTTTTCTTTCACCATGACAATCTGGGCAACGTGTCTTCAACAACCTAAAGAACAGTGAGTTTGAAAAAGCCAGCGATCTCACTCTGGCTAAGAGACATGCAATCCGGTAACTGAGGATCACCAGTCAGAGGGATATTTGGAGAATGGGACCTCGTTGACAGTGGGCGTGACACAGGGCCGAATTAGTTTGGCCTTATCTGAATCAGGTCATATTTAGGACAACCTGGATGATGTTTGTGATAATTTTGATGATGCCACAATGGATGTTGGAGTCTCCTATTACTTATGAGGTGATTACATAGCAATTATTGGCTTGATAAACTTGATGTTATTAAATACTTTATTTGACTTGGGCTATTTTCCTAAATCCTGGACTCTGGGGGTAATTGTTCCTTTGTATAAAGAGGGTGATTCTCACTCCACAAATAAATACAGAAGGCGTTACTGTTTTGCTTATATTTAGTCAAATTTATACATCTACATTGAACAGAAGTGTATCATCCTTGGCTTCTGCACACGATAGGATTGTTGAGTCCCAAGCAGGTTTACGTCCTGGATACTCCAATATTGATAATGTTTTTATTCTGCAATCAATATTAGAACGTTACTTATCTAAACGAAAAGGGACAATATAAGCATTATTTGTTGATCTCTCCAAAGCGTTTGATCTAATAGTACATTTCTCCAAAAATATATAAATTCATCCAATCAATTCACAACCACGTATCTGCTTGTCTTCAATATAATAATTCTTATTCACAACTGTTTGATTGTGATATTGGTGTTCGCCAGTGATGGGCCGCAATCCTTTTTCATTCTCCATGTTTATACATGTGTTAGCGAAAGGGATGGAGAGTTCATGTGAATATGGAATTCAGCTTCATCCAGATATTACTCAAATAAATTGTAAAAATAATTTATGTAGACGATTAATATTATTATTTATTAGTATGTTAAAATACGTTTTTGTTTCGTAAGATTTGGTTGGTTGTTGTTTTACGCAGCACTCAGCACTATTCCAGCTATATGACGACGGTCTGTAAATAATCGAATCTGGGCCAGACAATCGAGTGATTGACATCCTGAACATCGATCCACGCAATTGGGATCGATGACATGCATCAACCAAGTCAGCGAGCCTGACCACCCGATCCCGTTCGTCGCCTTTTACAACAAGCATAGCCGCCTTTTACAACAAGCATGGGTTGCTGAAGACCTATTTTACCCCGGATTTTCACGGGTCCTTTAACTTAAGGAAAATGGTCAGTATAGACATGTGATTTTCGGCACATATTCTTTTATAATTAACTGCTGGATTGTGATACATCATAACATTTAAGAAATTTTGCAGACAAATTAAAGTGTGTTTTTTTTTTATCATATAAGAATGCAATTTGCTTGGGCCGCGAACCAGCCTGCGGCGCCTTTTCAAATGTGTGCATTACGATTGTTTTGGGAAACGCACCCCTGTCGCAGAATGGACCCAACCGCCTTTCTGACATAAACAGGTTGGACACAGACGCGCCAGATAACGTTGTATAACATAGTATCGCTTTAACGCACATTCATATTTATATGTCAAAACCGCTGAGACGTATCGAGGAACTCACGTGACACGAGCAGACGACAGAACGTTGCTATCAGCCGAGAAAATACCGCTGCAGGTCCGTGACCGACATACGGACAGCTGTGGTGAATTTGAGTTGTGGTGAGTTGGCTGGTCAATCCGCTGGTATCTGCTATTGTGGCTATAAAAATGCAACATTTGTAATCGTTAGCGGAACCTTGATTGTGTAAACCGTCAATCAACAGACGCGTGGATCTAAATGTTCGGCTTCGGCGTCACCAGACCGTGGCCTTGCTGCTTGACTGTGAACCTTTGCACCGTGTTCAAACGAAAGCTTCCTTTGTGTACTGGTGAACTCAGATGACACGTCTGTGGTTGTTCGATCCATGTCAGTGTGTACAGTACTTGTCGATAGCACTGTAGTTTCAACGGATGTGAATGACTTCGTACAGTAACGGCTGAAGCGCATGTCTTGTGAGCTTTCTCGACGCATCGTGATCTGATAACATCAGTGTTTTGATCAGTCAAGCTACTCCAGTTTCCGGAGAACATGGCGAACTTCGACGATATTCTCCGACATCTGGGGGAGTTCGGCAGGTACCAGAAATGGGTGTACTTCCTGTTGTGCCTCCCAGCTATACCCCACGGGGTCAGGATGATGATCAATGTTTACCTGCTCAACGTCCCCGACCACAGGTAAGGGGCCTTCTCAAAGCCAACTGTAGTCGTTTATGTTTATAACAGCGAATTCGACCTTGTGTTCATTTAACTATTATGTTATTTCAATTTGCGTTTGTTAGTCGTTAATTGTGTTGAAAGTATATAACCAAGTGATAACATTATACGCTGTATTTTATACCCCCTCCCACCCCACTCGAATCCCTGTATCCATGTTAAATCCTAAAACATGAAGCGACATCAACAATAACTCAGGGAGACAATACTGATCATTATGTAGCATTTCCATATTCTACATCTATCATCTTTTACATACTTGACAGTGACATCTAATCTAACATTCAAAATAGTTTCTTATCATGGCTGAGTGACGGCAAGCTGATAACAGAATATGAAGTCACTCTACATGCGTTCTGTGTAATTGCAGTAAGCGAGGTATATTATGTGAAACCAGTCTGACAGCCACCTGGATGCGACAATAATGTCAGGTTGACATAAGTGTCCCGTTAGTAACAAACAGAGGGGCAAAAGAAACCATACCTCTCAGTTGATTTTGAGAAATGGGCTTCACACATTGTACCCCTGTCGAGAATCGAACCCGGGTCTTCGGCGTGACGAGCTAACGCTTTAACCACTTGGCTACCCGACCGCCCTGAAAAATGAGTACATCTTAATGGGTTTTTTTATTAAATAAATTTGCAACATGACTCCAACCATGTTGTAAATTTGTGTTGAAAAAACCCAACACAAATGGATTTTCGAAGATAGGATGTCTAAGATATCCATCAGTAGTTGCGTATTATGCGATTTTTAAAAAAAACGTTTTAAATCAAAATCTATTAAATACATAAGACCTTATAGAAATATTCTTTGAGTGTTGACTTAGCGCCAGTACAGTTATTTTGTTTTATATGATAGATACTTTTAGTTTTGAATTAGTTTTCAAATCCTGTTCACGTGAAACTGTTTTAGTCATAGCCGGCAAATAGTTTCCGGCCTCCGACTTTTGTTCATGTGCCACGCGGGTTAATCATACATAGAAACCATGTTCAACTCTCCGTTTGAGCAATAGAAGGTCGTTTAATTAGCCTAAGCGTTGAGGCGTTCTTTCCTCACACTGAAGACCTGTGTTCGATTCCACACCGGGGTATGGGGTGGCCCAGATTCGCCGTGATATAACTGAAATACTGTTCAAAGCGGCGTAAAACAGAACTCATTCACTCTATTCCACACAGGCTACGATATGTGCCCCAAGCCATGATAACGAGATACTGGGAAAGTTGTGTGGTAGTATTTCTACTATATCGGGGATAAAATATCTTTTTTTATTACAGTGTCGACATTTGCTCAGTGATGCATGGGACCGTTCATATTACCACTGAATGAATATATATGAAATTAATCATGTTTGAGAAATATGTGTCCCCTTATCTCTGATTTTTCTGTCAATCATTTTCACAGGTAATGCGTCACTTTATGCATGGGTATCACACCTACCAGGAAGTCTGACTGTTTCCAATAAATACAATAACATGTATTCCGCATAATGTTGATACACAAAAGGAACATCTACACCTTATAATTAGTGTAGAGTTGCGTCCATTATATGTATACGAATAATCTTTTCATATCGTCAACTACCACCAAGACGAGGTTCTACTGGATGTATGTGTTCAGCTGAATATTAAGCGTTAGGGACAACCTGAGCCAGGTGTGATGCAATCGTTACCAGCAGATGTTACCTGATATATGTTCAACTATACGTTACCTGTTACTACTTATCAATTATTGAACATTTCTGGTACATATTTGTTTAATTTTGTTATATGTGATAGGTATGTAGAAGTTAGACTAACATTTAGTTTATGAAATCTTATATTACACAATATCCTTCTTGACTCTTGAAAATACATTTTCCCTATGCTGATTTCATATATGTGGAATAGAGCTAGATTGCTTTTGTATACGCGTCTAGATTGTGTTTTTTCATAAAATATATATGTTCCACAGTCATGGGGCAGGACTTTGTAGAAGTGATATACATCAGATACGTATGTGTTGGATGTTTATTGTGGGTACCCGGTAGGTACACATCTCCATGTAATAATCTTGATGAAGGAGGAAGAAATGTCACATTAAGAAGACCACGTACAATGTTTCCGAAAATGCTGGAAGAAAGTAATTAGTCCTCAGGTTTTACGTAATTAGACGTCTCCTAGCTGCATTGTACACACTGATATTATCTCTTTGTACTCTTGTTTTGTATATGGGCCGGAGGCCTTTAGTACAATTAAACATCTTGACTTGACCCTCCAGATAAATATGAGTTTTGAAGCCCTGCCTGTAAAGATATTCCGTCTCATGCAAAAGTACCAGTCGATCCGTTATCCTAAGAGATGGAATAACGCACGTGTGTCACTTATAGATGATTCATCTGACCCTGTTCGGCATTAGGTATATTACTAAATCCAGGGCGTATTGCTGATTCTTCCATCGGGCCGCGTCAACTACGGCCGGGCAAAAGAACATTTACACCTGAAAATTGGATTTGACCAAACAATTACAAACGATATGAAAACGTTACTAGACTGAAAATAATCGCCGAAATCTTTATCTATTTCTTGTTTGGTTTATTTTCAGCCTCCACCAAACATGGGTGTGTACTTTCTATTTTACTTGGCAGTTTATAAGGCTTGACTATTAACTTATGATAGGACAACCATTTGACTGGACACGCATCGTCAAACGCGTATAGCTCCATACGAATATATACAATTTTGTGCATCAGCTGCATTCCCGAATCATGACACACTGCTTGTTGCATTCAATCCTGTGCAATAAATACCACCTGGTCACACAGCGACTACCTACCACGTGATATCTATATGCGACCATGACATCAACCACAAGAAGAAGTTCTTGTTCTCAAAGCTCAAACGTTGTCTGTCGCCTGTCTCTCCGTCCAAATGTTTATAAATTTTAGTCTAAACCGGTCATTCAGTAAAATAGTTAATGGATATACCTGTGTGACATCATGTAATGTTAAAACACAAGATTACACTATAACTCAATCCCTTGCTAGACTCAGAACTTATTACACCACCACCCCCCACTTTTGGGGACTTTTGCAGGGTGTTTAACGATCGCAAAGAAATCAGCCTACTGATGAGGTAGCCTACTGGCTGAAGTGTTCGCTCGTCTCGCCGAATACCTGGGTTCGATTCCCCACATGGGTACAATGTGTGAAGCCAATTTCTGGTGTCCCCCGTCGTGATATTGCTGGGATAGTGCTAAAGCGACATAAAACCATACTCACTCACTTAGTTGGCTTGTCAGATAGATTCAGTGTGTTATAAAAGCGCCAGTCAGATTATGTAGGCTAGGGATCGGCATTGCTCTGGTGACGTAATTTCATGATTTTCATAGGGTACGGGTGACCAGTTCGTTTCAGGCGCCAGGATACGTGCCACTCATTGTAGGTCTTATGTTTGGACTGTTCGAAAACCACTGTTAAACCCAACCAACTCACTGTAGGTCAAATGTTCGAACTTCAGGTTCGAAAAGGAGTGTGAAACCCAACCAACTCACACTAGGTCAAATGTTCGAACTTCGGTTTCGAAAAGCAGTATTAAAACCAACCAACTCATAAGTCAATTGTTCGAAATTCAGGTTAAGAAATGTTCTGTTCATTAGAAGATTGGACATATCCCTTGCACACCTATTGAAGTAAACAAAAGCCTGCCTGATAATTAGTTAACCATCATTATTCCAGATGCGCTATCCCTGGCTACAACAATGACACTTACGCCGTGCAGTCCAAGTACCACGCCGAGCTCATCAACAAGACCATACCCTTTGTGAAGCGTGACGGGAAGCTCCAGTACGACCCGTGTCACTTGTACTTCTCCAGCGGCCAAACAGCATCATCTAACAGGACCATCGTAGGATGCAATAAATGGGTGTACGATAAGTCCGTGTTCCAGTCGACCGCTGCCACAGAGGTACGTTCTGCATAAGACTGTGACTCTGTAAGTTTAAACCAAGTTACGTTCGTGTGACCTGGCGGGTTTGTGTGTATCTATGGGTTTGATTCCCCATATGGGATAATATGTGAAGCCCGTGATATGGCGGCAATCATGGCTAAATGCGACCTAAGACCACGCACCAACGCAGCCAACCACCCACTGACCCACTCACTCACTCACTCGGGGCCAGTGCTGGCTTGTGGTCTTCCCCTATGATTTCCAGGTGAGGATAAGCTCCCTGTACCTCGTGCTGATAATTGGAGACAACGTAAAAAGATCGGTGGTTACAATCTGTGACCTGGCTGATTGTGTCTCTTTGTGACCCACAATATAGATCGCTGTTCATGCCGTCAGCCACTGGTTTGCGTTGCCCATATTTGAGTATTTGGAGGCCACCATTATATAATTTAAATGTTGCTGAATTTACTACATTTACTTACTTTTTCTGTTTTGTTTCAAATAGATCTGTAAATAATTAATGCACTTAACTACGAGTACTGTTGTTTCCCTACAGCTGAACATGGTATGCAACAACGCAATACAGTCTTCTAACGCACAGATGATCTTCATGGGGGGATATTTTGCGGGAGCATTCATATTCGGTGCACTGGGTGACAGGTAATTATTCCAGTTTGACAGGTAAAGCGTCACCGATCCTCATGTAACAATACATGCGGCCTGGTTCCGCATCATAATGTTTTTTTCCTATTTGATGAATGTTGCATATGAGTTAAGAAAAATGAATTAATAAAGCATTTATTGTCCAGAACACAAACCCGCAAGGCCGCGTCATAGTTAAACTAGGTTCAAAATATGGAATGATTTGGTAATAAATTATAATAAAAACTGCAAATTAGGTTTATTGTGTAATTTTATTAATCCTTTCATCGTTAAACAACTTTCACATTCATTACTAGTTTCCTTATTTCAGCCCATCGACAAAACATTACAAAGAATACCTATTTATACATATATTTGATATACAAATAATAAACCGTAAACCAAGCAGTACAAATAGAAAGTATGCGGTGTTTCTCCACCTCACGTGAAAATAGATGTATGAATGTTGACTGAGACGTAAAACAGCATTGGCTCACTCACTGACATTTATTCTCTGTTCCAAGGGTCGGGCGACGCAAGGCGCTGGCTCTGTCTATTGCGATCCTATTTGTTGGCGGTCTTGCTCTCAACTGGGCATCCACCTACATCGTCTTTGTTTTCCTTCGCTTCATCAACGGCGCCTGTACCGCAGGGATGTTCACCACGTGCTTCGTGATTGGTATGTTCTGCATCATTACTTGCCGAAGCCTACAACAAACTGTTCACATCCTTGATATATACTGTAACAATTGCCTTATGTAAAGTTGTGATATACGTGTAGTTATGTGCGGAAAGTTGCGTTTCTTTAGCATTGCAGACACCATCTCCCCGAGACAAGAGAGTTAACTGACTATAGGAGTCCAGTTTATACCCATGTCGAACTAGGCTGGATTTTCGAGGCTCTGTAGTAGTGCCACCAGTGGCTATTATAAGTAATTTCCCTTTTATGTCCCTCTTATTGACCAATCAGATTCCACGTCTCATATCACATGTATTTGCTTCAAACTAAATGGTGGCGCCCAGTCAGGCCGATATGACCCATAATCAAGATCTGTGTAATAATAAAACGGGCCTTACCTCCCGAAGTGCATCATATCACTTGAGCACCTTGATAAATAACATGAAAAGATTTGGAAAATATCTGTCGAACCCCAGTTCAATATGCATGCAAATCCTGCAATCGACCGAAATCTGCACGTCAGTGGGCGTGTTTTTTACGAACCGGATGTCGAGTTCGTTACGCGATTTTGATTGGATTATGAATAGACTCGGTAGTCCTGCCAAAATATAACACCGAAATTGGATTGGAAACTGGAATTTTATAGTCATTTAACCTCATTGCCCCCGGAAGATGTACAGATACATTTAAAGGAGGTCCATTTGTATATAATTTGTGGTTAAGGCGGGACATGTAAACCAGAATCGCCAGTAAGGCGAAATTTTGAAGAATCGGCCGAAATCATGTCATTGCACACAACAACGTAAAGTAAACCTCTGTGTAATTTTGTAGATTTGGAATTGCTTTCTCCTTCAACGACGTAAATCCATATTTTTCCCCATGTATTTTGTAGGTATGGAATTTGTTGGTCCTTCTAAACGGGTGTGGGCCGGTATCATCACCAATTTTTTCTTCACAAGTGGCTATGCCTTCTTGACGGGAGTGGCCTTCTTCATCAGAGACTGGCACACTCTGGAGCTGGTCATGGCGGCGCCTGTCGGAATCTTTCTTATATACTGGTGGTGCGTGTTTCTTATATACTGGTGGTGCGTGTTTAATGAAAGAGATATGATATGGACGGGTTTCAGTTATATCAGGGCGTGTAATCTTCATATGGACAAAGACCTACGTGATGCAATTTGTAGACATACACCTGTTTGGTGAAACCCACGGGCACTGGTCTGGTGCAATGATCACTTGTGACCTTGCGACTAGGTGGGATTATGTGACCACAGTCTACTGAACACCTGACTGTAGCCGGGTTCCAGGGCGCCCAAGTGAATTAAAATTAACAAAATGTCTGCTCATCATCTTCTTTTTGCATCCTCTGTTTTACCTTTTTATACACGATTAAAATTTGCATTTAGCTTGATTCAAACATAAGTGAATAGTTTGGTAAAACAGTTTAATTGCAAGCTATGAAATTCTTCATGTGAGCCAAATGGCTGTATTTCATCTTCTTTGATCAGGATAATTCCAGAGTCCCCAAGATGGTTGCTCAACGTCTCCCGGACTGAGGAAGCGGAAGTGATTATACGTCACGCTGCACGTGTCAACAAGGTCACAATCCCCGACAGTGCCATGCAGTTCGAAAAAGAAGACAGGGATTCCAAACTAAAAATGCCCAAAACCAGCATCTTGCAGTTATTCACTCATAGGACATTACTCGTCAGAACAATCGTTCTATTTTTCTCCTGGTAAGAGGGTCCACAATTCGCAGTGAGTGAACTACCCAATTTTCGAGGAAAACCGAACTTGTGGAAAATCGTAATCCGGGCCAATATGGCGTTCTAACCAAAGAGTGAGTGAGCGAGTTTGGTTGAACGCAGCTTTGAACAATGTTTCAGTTATATCACGGCGCGTTGTGCTTGATGCAGGTCTGAGAGAAAACGATGAACAGTTATTGTGCTGTCAAACCTAGAAACATAATCACGCTTCTCAGCAACGTAGCCATCTGTGCCCCTGTAAACCGCGATCATCGCATTAGCTGTTCTGAAACAATGTAATTTGTGACTTAACTGACGACAGGGATGCATTTAATTGGTGTAGTAAATATCTGTGCATTTTAAGAATCATCTCGCCCTGAAAGAATACCTGGATATAAGGACCCAGTAAAGATTGAATTATTAGTTTGTATGAATACATTTATTACGATAAAACTCGATTATCTGAAAATGATAATATTTATTTCGTAATTGGATCGAAATTGACAAAAAAATGTATGTCATTATCGCTACAGTTTCCCATTTGAATATTATTTTTTTCTAGTTAGGAAATAGTTATAATTAATATTAATCTATCAATAGGAGGTAAAAGACAAATTTTAACGGAATTGTACACTGGATATTTCAGGACGCAGTGCTTTCGGTAAATCGTGAATCGTGAAAATTCGGTTTGGAATTGATCTTCAGCAACCTTTGTCGTAAGAGGCGAATAACGGGATCTGGTGGTCAGGTTGGGTGACATGGTTGATGCTTATCTCAATTGTATCATCGTATCCCAATTGTGTAGATCGATGCTCATTATGCAAATCTCGGGATGTTTTGATCCAGAGTCGATCGTATGTGAAACGTATGCTATTGTTTCTTCCAGGATGACAGTGAGTGTAGCCTACTTCGGTCTGTCGTCCAACACAGACAACCTGGGCGCCGGCAGCCTGCACCTCAACTCACTGTTGGCCTGTCTGGTGGAGTATCCAGCTAGCATCCTCTGTCTGCTACTCTTGGACAGGATGGGGAGAAAAGCACTGCTGTGTGCCTTCATGACGCTAGGGGGAGCAGCCTGTATACTTTCAGTCATCACTATTTTATTTGTGAACGACGGTATGTGTATGCTGGGCCCCGTTCCACAAAGTGGTCCCTGCGCTGGGACAGTCATACGTCTGTGAAAGTATGGGAGTTACCATCACCAATAGAGTTAAAACGTTGCACAGCAGTATGTTGCTTAAAAGTGAACGCTATATTGTTTTGTTGTATTGAAATGTTTGTATTTGATTTTCTAAATACAATTTTAAGAATACTATGATACCGAATCATTCCTGGTGCAAAACATCTCGATCTTGGTGAATGAATCAGGCATGACTCAGAAACGCTTTTCTTTGTCTGTATCAGAAAGCAAAAATACCTTGAAATAAGATTTGTAAGTATTCTAGAATGTTTAATATAGTCGTATCATATCTGACTTACAAAGGGTTGAATATTACTTTCTTGTACAATTTTCTTATAGACTTCTTTAAGGTGGATGGTGTAGGCTAGTGTATTTAACGTTCACTCGTTTGCCAAAGGCCCGGGTTCCATTCCCCACATTGGTACAATTCTGATGTCGCCCGCCGTCATATTGCTGAAATATCGCTAAAAGCGGTGTAAAACCACACTTACTCACTCACTCTTCGTCTTCAATGTTTAGTCTGATAACAAATGTGTATTTGCGGCAGACTGAGAGTAGTTTGGTCACAGTAGTAATTTTTCGACTTTAGTTAATTATGGATTTTATATATTCCGATAGATAAAGTATTTCATCAATTAATATATACTAAATGCCACAGTTCACTGAATACTAATATTAGGTAATACATGGTATGGCATTGCTGAGAACCAAGACATTGGGTTTTGGTACTAGTATGTTCACACAAAAGAAATAGTTTATAACTGACAACACGTTATATTCCACAGCCAATCAGTGGAGCACAGTCACACTGTCAATGATAGGGAAGATGTGTGCCTCGGGTGCATTCGGCGTGGTGTATGTGTACTCGACGGAGATATTCCCGACTGTTGTACGGAGTTCAGCCCTGGGCCTCAGCTCATCTTTTGCCAGGATAGGCGGCATGGTGGCCCCTTACTTCATAGACCTGGTAAATATGTGTGTGTGTGTGTGTGTGTGTGTGTGTGTGTGTGTGTGTGTGTGTGTGTGAGTGTGAGAGAGAGAGGGGGAGAATGTGTGTGTGTGTGTGTGTGTGTGTGTGTGTGTGTGTGTGTGTGTGAGAGAGAGAGTAAGAATGAGGGAGAATGTGTGTGTGTGTGTGTGTGTGTGTGCGTGTGTGTGTGCCCAACTTCATAGACCTGGTAAATATAGACGTAGCAAATATGTGTGTGGTGGTCCCTACTTCATAGACGTAGCAAATATGTGTGTGGTGGCCCCCACTTCATAGACGTAGCAAATATGTGTGTGGTGGCCCCTACTTCATAGACAAAGCAAATATGTGTGTGGTGGCCCCTACTTCATAGACAAAGCAAATATGTGTGTGGTGGCCCCTACTTCATAGACAAAGCAAATATGTGTGTGGTGGTCCCTACTTCATAGACGTAGCAAATATGTGTGTGATGGCCCCTTCTTCATAGACGTAGCAAATATGTGTGTGGCGGTCCCTTCTTCATAGACAAAGCAAATATGTGTGTGGTGGTCCCTTCTTCATAGACAGAGCAAATATGTGTGTGGTGGTCCCTTCTTCATAGACGTAGCAAATACGTGTGTGGTGGCCCCTCATAGACCTGGTAAGTGTGTGTGTGTGTGTGTGTGTGTGTGTGTGTGTGTGTGTGTGTGTGTGTGTGTGCGTGCGTGCCGAGGCAAGGGAGGTAACTGATGTCACCCATGTAATGCTCTCACAGTTTGTTTGTGGTAAAGGAGGGAACCCGCTATTCCAGACGTGTGCGGGTTAGAAATGATGTAACCCTCTATCATTGTTACCAGGGCAAAGAGGTCGGGGGGAAATGGGGACGGGCGTTGCCTCTCCTCCTGTTCGGGTGTCTGGCTTTTGTGTCCGGTCTTCTCGATCTTTCTCTACCAGAGACACTCAACAGGGATCTGCCAGAGACTTTAGAAGATGCCAAAAACTTTAGCAGGTTGGTGAATTCGTAGATTAATAAGGATGTACCCAGTCATACCCGTTTTAACAGCGGGAATCTAGTCCACATAGTAGAGAATGAACCAATTTTTTTTATTAACGTAATTGAGTGTTTTTTGTCATGCACAAATGTTTACTGTACTGTTATCATGTATATTGATCTCCGATGTAGAATACAATACGCATCACAATAGACTCCGTGTAAGCTGCCCGTTTAATAGTTAACATTGTGAACTTATGCGTACGTAATAAATATGGCATCTACAAAGCTATATGCGTATCCTATTAGCATATCAGTATCACACTTGCAGAAGATATCGTGCACACCGGTTACTACAGTATAGAGGGGGTATTTGATAAAGTATTAAACTGAAGCTGTATCACGCTATTGTTAAATACGTTCGCACTTAACTCGCTAGCCAAAGAGTGTTGAACTCTTAGTTCAAAGACTCCTTCTTTACAATACAAGTACGGGTTGGGTGTGAGAAATGGATCATTACGTCATCCTAAAGATGGTCTGAGCGCATCTGGATGTGGAGTGAGTCACCACCACTCAGTTGTATTTTGGTACATGTTTAGTCGGGGCTCAAGTACTAAGAATTTGTTTCAAAGGCGGTAAAATAGCAACAAAAGACATGTTGCTTAAATTACCAAATATTGCTTTTTTTCTCAAGACGATCGAGTTGATCTGTTTAAGTTTGAAATAATCAATACTTTAAATCAAGCGAACCCCACCTGGCATACTTTCATTGCTCTGTCATGCTTATGCAGTGTCACAGTCAAGTGTGTGGCAGTGAATTACTGACAGGTATGGTGTTTGGGTCATAGACAGTTGCATATGTTCCGAATGGAGTAAGTGCAACGTGCTGAGTAAGATAGCTGTATTAAACATATTGTAAGCCTATTATTGTTCACCAATAAAGGTACCATGGTACTTCAGTATTGGCTGCATATCGGCGAAAGAAGAGTATTGACGCCATTTAGGCTTTAACGTTTGTTATGATCATAATATAGTCACAGCGCTAATACCGAGGCCCGGGTTTTTGCAGCACTAACCAGCTTCTGTTTGCAGGAAAAGGCCTTATCCTCGCCTGATAAACGGCGACGCAGATGGGACAGACGAATCCAATGTCAGCCAGCCGCTGCTCTCAAGCACATAACGATGTGTCGTCACTGACAGACCTAGAAAAATGTGACAACATCAACAATCGATTCTCTGATGAACAAAGAGTACTGTTCAACTGCCACCTTGACACGTGCCTGCTTCATCCACTAGGTTTGACTGGAAGTCGGAATGCTGTCATGAAGAGTTGTTGACAAATAAGAGAGAGAAAGAGAATTTTTTATTCAGGTCTCACCGACTGTACAGAACTCACAGTTTTTGTTATTTATATGCCACAATGGCGTACACATTATTAATATAGATGGTAAAGTAAAAAACATTCATATCTTCTCATCAGCATATATACATGATAAAAATCACAATCGTACAGACATATCTACCTGACCATATCCAACAGAACAAACAAATTGTAGACTTTAACGTGTTATCAATGTACCGTTTTGTTACACAAGGAATATTTAAGCACATAGAAAACAGCATTGACAAGATAGATGTATGATGAAACAAGGACTGATTGACACTGGATAGATTATAGCTGTTTCCGATTGACGAATCATCCCAGTCCTTCACCGACGTTAATACCAACGGTTGGAGGCCTGTGCTATGATGACACGACATTCGTGTTCTATGCATTTACCCCTACTTATGTATGTCATCAGTTACTGCAATCTTGCCATATTGCATATAAACAATGTATTACATGTGAAATCACGACTCCCTAATACTCAAATCAAACTATGGACACTGCCCTGATACAATGTGTGTTCAAGTGATTGTGTGCTGTGATTGTGTGCTGTGATTGAGGATTTGATGAGTCTGAATTATGAAATGCAAATATAACATTTATGTTACTTTTGATCGGTTCACGTATGAATTATCAAATATTTTTGATTACGAATTTTATTCGTTGATAAGGTCATTTAAACATATTTTATTGTCCTTGAGACAAACGTATCAGATACATTATCCTGGGGTGAATACACGTTTCGTTTTATAACAATGATGATGGATATAGGTAGAGCACCACATACTTAAATATGCATCTTAAGAATATCTGTTTATGAGTTTTACGCAATGATGTGAGGTTCCCTGACAACTAGGCCGCATACTATATGATGAACAAAGGGAATCAAGTGCTTCATGCGTTCTGAGAGATCCAATGTTTTCTCGCACAGTTTTGTATGTGTTGCATTTTATCACAATATACAATGTATTACAATATTTTGTAGTATAGTAATGTATACTCACACGCGAAAGAAACGCAAGTCGAGTATGCAGTATACATGTTATTTATTTTCAACAGTAAAGACAAGAAATACTAATACGGCAAGATTGACAAAAATTTGACTGAACACAGTTTAATGGATTAAAAGGCAGATGACATAATTGTTTTTTTCACATGTTAAGGGCTTACACAGTTTCGGGTCAATACCCAAAATGTCAGCCAATACCTGGTGTGACCACCATTAGGATTGATCACTGCCACACATCTCCTGTACATTGATTGGATCAGACGACTTGTGAAGGCCCTAGGGATCCTCCTGCACACATCCAGAGCAGCTGTGCGTAGTTGCAGGGACTGGGCGCACATTGTGCAGACGCCTTTGAACCTCATCCCACAAGTGTTCGATTGGGTTCAGATCAGGGCTGAGGGCGGATCACGGTAGAACACGGATGTTGTGTTGTTGCAGAAAGGCCATGGTAGCTCTGGCAACATGGGGACGAGCGTTGTCCTGCTGGAAAATGTGTTGTTGATGTTGTGCAAAAAATGGAACAACGTGGGGTCTGATCACTTGGTCGATATATCGCTGAGCAGTGACGCCGTGTCCCCGACCTTGACCAACATTCAGAAAACACATGGGTCCAAGTCTCGCATTAAGTCCAATCCCTGCCCATATCATGACGCTTGGTCCACCCCATGGATCCCTTTCCACAACGTTTCTGTCAGTGAAACGATCACCTCGACGCCGCCAAATTCTGACTCTTCCGTCTGCATGGGAGACAAAAGCTACTTTCATCAGAGAAGATGACACGCCTCCAATCACGATGATGGCAATTGCGATGACCCTGTGCCCACTGTAGTCGTGCTTGGCGATGCCGTGGTTGGAGAACAGGACGACGTGCTGGTCGGCGACATCTGAGGTTGTTGGAACGGAGGCGTCGGATCACAGTGTCCCGGCTAATGTGTCGATTATGTGTTCCTATGGTCTGTCGAGCACTTTCACTTGCAGTTAGGAACGGATGTCGCTGGTGTTGACGGGTAATCTGCCGATCTTGTCGAGGTGTGGTGACCCTAGGACGACCGCTCCGAGGAAGGTCATCTGTGGTCTGTGTAGCATTGTATCGATGCAGGAGACGGTAAATTGTGGTTATGTTAACGTTGAAATGACGGGCAACATCTTGGACAGACTCTCCAGCTTCCAAACGTCCGATAGCCTGGTTTCTCTGAATTTGAGTTAGGCGTGGCATTGTTGACCAAGGAGTGGTTGGTCCAAGAATCGGCCACAGTTTTATACCCACTACAGTTCGTGACAATTCGTGCATTTTCGATTTCGCGAGAAATGGGTGCATGATACCCACATATTCATTGAAATATATTTTGGCGATTCGTTTTTTATGTTGCGTTTTTACCCGGGGCTTCCAAAATGCAACGAAAAATATTGATAACACCATCAGGCTTCACTACATGCTGAAACTCGTATCAATTTATGGTTCCGTGTTTGTTGCCTATTTGCTTAAAACCACTTGCGTTTCTTTTGCGTGTGAGTATATATTGCTACCTTCTTTTAACCCCGTGGAACGACAACAGCCGATTATTAGGAAGATTTCCAACTTTTTAGAAGTAAGCAACTTTGGTGACAGGCGTTTTGAATGGCCGAGAACAAACTTGTATTTTCATGTGTGTGCCTGAAGTTAAGTGGGAATTTGACAGTGACCCGTGTGTGTGTGTGTGTGTGTGTGTGTGTGTGTGTGTGTGCGCATTGCAACAGTATTATAATTCCCGGGTAGTTATGTTTGAGAAATAGCACAAAGAATGTGATGCGCATATTATTAAATTTGCATTGTATATATATATATTGTATCTCCGGCATACAATGTGGGGCATACTAACCTTTCAGTGTATGGCTGTCAGTTGGATACATTCCGTTTAAGAAGCATATTTTAAGAACACTTGTATATCTTTCGTATTAAATTTTCCTGGTATATCAACCTGGTGAAGAAGTCTTTCAGGTATTATAAAAGTGTGTCTCATTGAATCAAGCGATGTTGGTAAGGTTTTGCCTTTTGTCTTATATGTATAATGTTTTTGTACATGTTCCCTGAACATCATCATAAAGTTTGTACGGGACCGGAGATGGGAGACCGGGATCGCGACCGCGACCGCGACCGGGACCTTGTGATGAAACTGTTGCATACTAACATTTATGTGCATTCTACCAACCAAAATGTAAATGGTATGAGCATGGTTTTGCTTTCTTGTGTTGACCTGCCCCTTGGTGTTGCCTAAAAGGACAGAATCCAGTCGCAACTCACTATAGTGCTTGCCGTGGGCACTGAGTGAACCTGGCTGTGTCATTGTGTATGATTGTGGACGCGTCGTGTAGACTCACAGGTTTATAGATGTCATATTGTACAAATAATTACCCGAGGACCCGACCCCTGAGCTGGTCCTACCGTCGTAGGGATCGGGTCCTTGTTTCCGCATATCTACCTCGTCAAGAGTAATCATTCGTTTTGTTATACCGAAATTCACTCTTAAGTTTATGAAGTCTTTTAACCGTCCTTGTTTCATTACAGTAACTTAACCCTGAAATATTCGTTCCAGACGCCATCTTGTTTTCTCGTTTTCAATATTCATCACGTGACAGGTCAATTCTGATCATGTGAAGTACGAGACAATCTTCAAGGTCAGTGTCAGTCACATGATTTCACGTGATACGGATTAACCAATGGAATTGCAAGATTCTGTAAAGCGGTATAACAATACTGATTGTTGCCTATAAGGACACGCGTTTTTATATCTGTACCTTTTGATTTCTCCAGACTCCAGAACTATTTCTTAAATCTCGTTCCTACCGACTCATGTATCAGTCAGACCATGCCAGGCTTTTGCTCTTCAGTATTCACATTGTTGAAAAGTCTTGATTTAGGAAACATTCAACCCTACAACCCCATGTCGGATTGGACGCCACGTATGGCGGTTGCCTACAGACGTCTGTTCTGTGGGACTCTATTATTAAGTGTGGTAGGTTTAGGATCTGATACAGCAACATGGATACAAGACATATCGCCTACGCCAATCCCTCCTCCTATATTATGTTTGCATGGCTTACAGAGTGAGAGTTGACATATTTTTTCAACGACACTGGCGCCAGGTACATTGTTTACATACCGAAAACAGGACATTAGACTAACATTTAGTGAAATGAAATCTTCTCGACTCTCAAAATAAAAAAAACCCTATACAATTGCTTTTGTATACGTTTCTATATAGTTCTTTTTTCATAAAATAGATATATTCCACAGTCAAGGTGCAGGACTAACAGGAATTACCCCTGGATATACGTTCGTAAAATCAATGATACAAAGATCAGGAGACAGAACTAAACCCAGGTTTATATGTAAGATAGTGCTAAACATAAACATACTAAATGCAAAAATGAAGCCAATACAAGTGGTGTCTGTGAAATAAGATATAGCAGTTTTCCATTACTACATGCATAAAAATAAACTTCTCGAATCTTTTGCTTTTGACAATGAAATCGTGAACTGATTTAAGAATAGTCATGTTTGTAGAACTGCTGACTAAACTACTGCCATGTAATATCGTTTTTAAATCATACCCATGTGTGTAGAAATACATAGTGTTTCTGATATTATCGTATTTGTGACAGGTATAGAAAAACTGAATTGCGTCTTCAAAGTGATATCCACAAGTGCAGTCTGATATGTCTGAAACATGTCGTCTAAACTTATCAGCGTTTAGGTCACTGCAGCCGAGCCTAAGGCGATAGTGGACAATTTGGCATGATCTATGACCGTAAAAGTATAGGTCAAAATTATTATTAATAATTGTTTCAGAACGATTAATTAAGGATTTGAATTCTTTTAATGAGCAAGAATTAGTAACTTCATTTGGTAGAGTGTTCCACAGGTTAATCGTATCCGGAATAAATGATTTAGCATAGGTCTGGGTTCTACATTTGATTGTTTGTATGTTAGATCTATTTCTAAGGTTATAATTGCTATTATCAGAGACTGGACTTGGGATGAGATCGTTGAGATATACAGGTGACATACTATTTTTCATTTTGTAAAATGTAATCAATTTGAAGCGGTGTCGTTGTTCTTATAAATTTTAACATGACTGGTTACCCGAACCGCCCCACAGATAGTTCTCAATGCGTCCAAATGTAAATACTCGAGTAACGATGATTGTTCGTTTGTACAGTTGTCCCAAATATGACATCACAATACATCGTATGACCCAAATTCTGTGCTTAAAATATTTAATTTATCCCTGAGACTACGAACATTTAGGTGTATAATATTTAAGTCCTTTAGGTATTTAGGTCCAGGATGAGGGTGAACATCTTCACAGCGGAGGAGAAGAAAAATGAAGAAAATTGGTTGTCGCATATTATACAAACATCGAAATTTAGAAATGTGTACAAGAATCAGAAACTTAAATGAGTGTTTAACACGAAGAGAGAGAGAGAGAGAGAGAGAGAGAGAGATATTCGTTATTTCCTCCAGAAGTTAATCCGAAGATTATACATAATTAATCGAACGTATTCACACAAACTCATATTACCTGTACATATAGACAATACAAGACACTAGCACAAGTGTCATGCCATTCACACAGTACAAAAGGTTAGATCAGATGACATAATCAAGGTAAGGCTTTAGTGTAAGTTCATAAGCAGAAAATATCAGTATAACAGATTCCCATGTAACTATATCAATACATTGTGAAAAGTGAGTATCAGCACCAAAGAAAAATGACAACATATCTTCTTCATCTTGTAATTCCAACTGGACATAGGTTTCAACATCAAGCAGATCAATTCTTTCCTGCAGTAGAGCTTCACAATGTAATATGATGTGATTATCATAATCAAAGGCATGCTTGTTACACAATAAACAGTCCCTGGAAGTTTTGTTTCGTGATGAAACTCTAACACAAAATTTTAAACTTGACCTCTGTTCTGGGTACAGATATGCTAGTTGCCATAAATATATGGTGAGTAAGCTTTGTGTGTATTAGCATGAAGCGTGAAAGACCTGTATTGACAGAAACTTTTCTGCGCCACATATTTTCTTCATTTTCATGAATGGTTTTATTAACCAGTTGCTTCCAGTTTCTCTTTG